GTTCGTGTCTGTGTGTGGTTGAGTGTTTGTGTTCGTGTCTGTGTGTGCCTGTTTGTGTCTGTGTTCGTTGTGGTTGTGTGTCTGTGTTTGCCTGTTTGTGTCTGTTTGTGGGTCACTATTACTTTCTACTCGATGTGTATCCTTCCTTTGCCGTTGCGCGTGCGTCTGAATCCGAGGGCTATGGCTGAGGGCGTGTGTGTTAGCATTCGTATTAGCATGTGTGTGTGACATTTCTCCACCATCGCATTAACTCATTGCATTCACTCCTGCCTGTTCCTGCTGCTCTGTGACCGGTCTTTCAACATAGCGTCCACATATAGTTTTCTTCTTCTTTCTGTCTGATGGTCTTCCTCCGAAACGATGTGATCTCCGCATTCGTTTCTAATTGGTCCGCTAGTAATTATTCACTCCTCTTTGATTGGCAGTCATATCATAACTACTGTGTACGCCATGGGCCGTAAGCCAACAAGAGTGTCTTGCTGTACCTACACAATTTTTCTTATGTGATTGGTTGTCTGTCAATATTTTCCTTGCATGTGATTGGTTCTCAATGCATAAATGTGCTGTGTATTTGGTTGACTCCCATAGACCACACGCCCTTCTCTGCCACGGATGACTTATTGTACGCACACATTCTGCCGTCTTTTGATTGGTGGTCTATCAGTAATTTACATGCTTTTGATTGGCGTTCTATTAATACCTCTTATCTATTGGCCCTCCCCTACAGGCCGCATGCCCTTCTCTGCCAAGGGTGACTTGCTATACATACACATTCTGGAAGAAGAGCCGGAGTATCCCTCATATGTCTCAGCGACGGCAAAGTCCTTTGTGAGGTACGTACACAGACAAGGGCACTTGAGTGATACTAGTTAAAAGACACTGATACCAAGTGGATGTTAAGTTCAAAGACACTAATACTACGTGTACGTTTAGTTAAAGACACTGGGTGATACTTAGTGTATGCAAAGACACTGAAACTACGTGTACGTTTAGATAAAGACACTGGGTGATACTAAGTGTACTTTCAGTTAAAAAACACTTGAGTGAAACTAATTCAAAGACACTGATACTAAGTGTACGTTTAGTTCAGAAACACTTAAATGATACTAAGTGTATGTCAAGGTTAAAGTTACTGGGTCAAACTAAGTGTAGTAGTCTATATTTATCCCCTCTCCAGACGTGACATATGAAGTTATCATGTATGTGTACACATAATAACACATCACCAGACATACCATAACCATGTATATGTACACATAATAGCACATCGCCAGACATACTATAAGTCGTTGTCATGTATATATAGCCATTCTACCAAATCACCAGACATAACATAAGACGTTCTGTTTATGTAAACATTCTAATATGTGCATTGATATCCTACAGTGGTCTGATGACTAAGAGCATGAGAGATCGACTGGATTTCGGCTTCGATGGTTCGGGTCTCGTCCGTAAGTATTTTTAAGTCGAATGTGTAGTTGCCACCTACAGCGCTTCTGTCATTGCGAAGGGGTTGATTGTGATAGTAGTACCTATAGTGGTATTAGTACGGTACAAATATTTTTCCTACAGAGTGTCTGTAATGCGTTTAAGATTGGGTTAGTCAAGTGGAGCGGGTGAGAATGGATAGTTCTGTAAAGCTGAGATCTGTACAGATATATTTTTGATACAAAGGGAAATGTCAACGTATGAATGTTTGTATAGGCATATTTGTGTATTTAAAACATTATATATATATA